ATAGATATAACAGAATTTATAAACACTGCCATCTAGTGACCGAAATTGTACACTGCAGAAGTTGTTGCTATAAACACAGTAATGTGTATTTTAACTCTAAATTCTAACTTCTAAGAGCATTAATGTAATGACTAGCAATGACCAGTATGATTCGCTCATTGAGATTTTACAAAGTTAGGAAATAGAATAAGTTCAATAACATGTTTTATATTATTGGTAGTACCCAGGGGATCAGTTAGAGGCAACTCAAAGGAGTCCCAGCATATACTATCCTGCTATAATATCAGCATTGCAATAGGAATACATAGTATAGTTGGTTTTGATAATACAATCAAAGTTTACTAATGTAGTGAATGCTGCCTTCCGTCTGCCCATCACTTTTAACAACTTCCTGGATTCCCAGTGTGCTTTGCATCTCTTTCCCTGCTGCTTGATATGACAGTCTTGATATGACCTGGAGGCGCTCTGGATCCTAACACAGAGTATGGCCAGCTTCATTCAAGACTGATGGTGAATGAACATATGCTTTGCGATTTGTGTTTGTTTTTTTCTTTTTCCATTAGCTTGTTTTTTGTTCCTCATCCGTTATTACCTGTTCTAACAACAGAGGAAGGTGTGTTGACGTAATGTAAATTGCCTCTAATGGAGGGCGTATTCATTCACAGGGCCAATGATAACATCACCATGAAAAGAATCCTGCAGGGTTTGATTTCAGGAATAAAATGTTGGGGAGCTCTGGATGAGGTTGGGAAAAATACAGGTTTAGTGTTTCTATTTCCCAATGTTTTTTTTATCTGTAAAAACAGTTTATAGCAGGTTGCAGAAAGCAGAGATCTGTATATGGCATGTCCTAACACATAGCTGTGCCTAGCTTTGTCTCCTGTACGATCCATGTCTCCAGATCTAACACAGAGGTTCTGCCTGACAGAAAGAATAGACAATTTCTAGTCTCTAATGACATGAAACAATTGCAATTCTCCTGGTACTTAGAGACCGTGTAAACTAGGCTGCCTAGGCATTGTGTAATATCAGGCAGTTCAGGAGCAGCATTTTTTTGTGGATTTGTGGAAGAGGTTATTGTGTTACTCAAGACAGTAATGTGATTTGGTAATGGCGAAATGTGACCTTCTGGTTCATATGAAACCTGACTTTTATAAATGCTCTTTATATTGTATGCTGACCGCACTATCCCATACTCACCCAATCTGCAACGCATCAAGTTTTGCTGCAATATTTAGCTTCAATCCAGCGATCTCCCCCATAGTACTCTTTCTGCCACTAGATGTCCTCAGTCTGCTGGCCAGCATCATTCAACCCACTTCATCTTGGAGCCTCCCCAGCCTGTGACTGGACTGTGAAAGGAGAAGCAGCACAGTGATGAGCTCATCTCTCTTTCATTCTGCTTTCTCTTCCTATCAGCATGCTTCTTGTAAGCACATGACTGACAGACACTGATCTCTGCAGGGAGATTATCGGGAAGTGAGCGAGCGAAAGTATGTGTTCGCTCACTTCCTCATAGTTCTCCTTTAATTCACCTCTGTATCTACATGCAGTGTGGAGAAATTACGTTTCACAGTTCACAACACAGGCACTGAAATCTTAGGTTATTTCCATGGAGAGCAGATCTTGGCACTCTAATGTAACCAACCAGCAGGTGTTACTAAACTGCTGAGCCTCATTCACAAGGGTGGGGAGGGCAGTACACCCCCCAAATCAGCATATTTCTACTTCGGGTACAACCCTGGGTATATGTTCAGCTGCAGACAAGAAGCCTGTACAAATCAATAACAGATTGTCACTGTCCTCCTCTGTTTGCATATGTAGTTGCATTGACACGCATCTTTATGCATTGAGCTGCATAAAAATACAGCATGCCTTCTTTTTTCCCAACACACACCAAAGCACTAGTGAACCGGGCACATAGACGGCCATTGTTTTTTGAGTTTCCTTGCAATAAGCTTGTGTAGATCAACGTAGTTCAATGCGCCTTGTGTGAACAAGCCCTAATGAGATTCATACTGTGGCTGTGTACTGATTGGTGGTATATAATTACTTTGCACCAGTGAGCCAGCGTGTAATCCAACTTCTCTGTTCTTCTTTGTTATTATAATGTCAGAGCTCAATGTCACTAACAAGTGAATCGAGACAGTGCAGATTATATCCGGCTCCTTCCAAAAGTCACAATGAGTAACTTGCTGGGTAATGAGCATCCACCAAACCCTTACTGATGTCAAGACTCCTGCATCTATAAGGCCTCATCATGTGTCAGAAGGAGTGGGGTGCTTGTTGTTAATGGCAACCATCCAAACTCCACCGGTCATATTTCTAGCGCAAGTCAGGAAATTGAATATCATACTAAATAATTGACCAAACTGTACAGGTAAGACATGACAGATCCCGGTTTTCCTTTACGACAACAATGAACTTCATATTTCTCTGTCCGTTATTCTTGGCCAGAGATCTGCTAGACGGCTTAATCGGAAAAAAAAAAGTAATCACCCACTTCAGCTGCTCTCACCTCCAGGTATACAGAAATCCTGTGCATTGCTCAGACACATGAAAGTGTAGAGATCCACCATGGGCCATCCCTATAATGAGGCAACCTGAGGCTGTTGTTTTCAAGGTGGCAGCTGTTTGGGTCAAGGTGGCAGCTCTTTGTTTGCCCCTTTTCCAACCAGAGTGTCCCAGGTTGCTAAGAGCCGGGTGGGAAGATGTGAAAGGGCCATACATATCTCCCCGCCCAGTTCTTAGCAACCTGGGACATTTTGCCCGGTGTCCCGCTCAGGTCCTGGCAACCAGTGACGTCACTGCCCAGTAGCTGGGATGGGACACTAGCCAGAGTCGGAGCCAGAGCTGGGCAGGGAGATGATACAGAGGCGCATGATTAAATGAGTGAAGTCAGCATAGCTACAGCTCATTTGCTTAGCTAAGTGAAAGTTGCTGAGTGAAAATTCTCTGAGTCGGGTGAATGAGGTGAAGCTTTGCAGACTTTTATCATGTAATCATGTGCATACAAAAAACGCATTTTGGGTATTTTTTGCAAAGTGAATTTAGTTCACTCACTAAGATAAGTGCAAAGTGAATGTGCTCTACTCCTTTAGTAAATCAAATGCAATCCACACAAAAAGTGTTTACAAAGCTTTCAGCAAACTTTGAGCAGCATTTGGCTAAAGTGACTCTACACCGGTAGATTTTAGTCTAAACATTTATATGAAACATCTCACCAGAACATTCCATAATGCCATCAGAGACTTCACAAATGTCATTTGGGCCGGGATTTCCCACAAGGACAACTGAGGCCTGGCCTTGGTGCAGCAAGGAGTAGAGAGGCAGCAGGGGTGGGGAATTCTTATCTCCCGACGCCAGGGACATGCAGTTGCGGGCGCCGGGCGAGTAGTTGTTTCCTACATTTAGCCCTGATTTGGGCAAGCAGGGCTAATTGTACAGTGGGGGGAAGCCGCCGCTTGTTCTGTACAAGCGATCTCGGCGATGTCGCCGAGATCACTTGTATGCAGCCTGCATACAAGGGGAGCATTGAGGAACCTGGCATTGGGGCAGCAGAGAGAGTAAGGCCTGGTTCACACCTGGGCGTTTTACAGCACGTTCCTACGCTTTGTAAAACGCTCAACATGTGAAACCCAATGATTGCCTATGGGCATGGTTCCCACCTGGGCGTTTTACAGCGCGTAGGAACGCGCTGCAAAACGCCCTACGCCAAAAGAAGTACAGGAGCTTCTTTGGGGCTTATTCGCTGTGCGTATCCATTGGGATACAGCCAGATAGCCCTCGGAAACGCACGTTTGTCGCGCGTTTTTTTAACCGCAGATCGAGGTAAAACCGCACGGCACGAAACCCGCGACAAGCGAGCATATTCGATATGCCTAGGTGTGAACCCAGCCATAATCCGGCCCTGGCTTTACGACTAGCTTATGTCTTATGACTCATTGTTCCCCTGTGACACTTTGTGGTGACCTGCGTGGAACCAGTCTGGCAAAACGCAGGTCACTGCTATATGTGTGATCGGGCCCCCAAGGGTAATACATTTTTTTTTAATAAAGTGACAGAGAACTGTTACATGTGGTCTACGGCCCAGTTCGGTCCTGACAGAAGTGTGTTGATGTTTAGACCTCTTTCAGCCGGATCCTGTCCTGATCACAGCAGTACGGAGCAGTGATCGCCGCTGTGACATCCGTGTTGTACATTTTTTTAGCTCTATCTTGCAATGGAGGAAAAAAACTGCAATTACCGGACACCGTGTCTGTCTATGTAATCGGATGTAAACGGGCATGTGTAAACTGACAAGCAGACTCGGTCAACCGTCCACGTGAAGGGGGCCTTAGGAGTTATGGGGAAATATAAGAGGGGAACAAGATGGAGAAACATTACTATAAGCTTTGTAAGTATAAAGAAATAATGTAAAAAATTCTAACTGCACAAAAAAAAATCTTCTCCGCCATCACTAGTATTATGTTTATTTGTGAACACAACAACAACAAACATTCATTTTAGACTTGAAATGTCCTGAGTGTAATTCTATATGTTTGGGTGGTACGTTAAAGGAGATAATTGCACTCTTTTGTTAAGCTGTGGGCTTTTCTTTCTTTCTTCAGCCTTCTGTCTAAATACCTCAGGC